ACGCCGCGGCGGGAAGACGGGCAGGGGCTGGCGAGCTGGCGCATCCTGTCCCTCGGCGTTCCCCTTGGCGGCCCTGAGCACAGGTGAGCCCTGACGCTCCGGGTGTGGGCTCTCACCGCGCCTCACCTGCGTCGTTTGCTCCTGCAGCTCTTCCATGTGCTCCAGCAGGGCGTTCTTGGTTTCCGTGTCCTCTAGCAGCGCGCTTACGTCGAAGACATTGTCCAGGTAGGCCTGGATCTGCACCCGCAGCTTGTCGCTCTCCGTGAGCCGGAGCCTCTGTCCCCAAAGCAGGAGTGGGTGGAGTTCACGGGGACCCAAAGGAAGAGGCCTGAACCCCGGCCTGCGTCTTTCGCTTTTCAGTGAGATATTTACGTGCAGTAAAACCCACCACGTTAAAGCACGCGGTTTGTTATCCTCAAGGTCACGGGGCCACCACTGCTGTCAAATCCGGGAATGTCTTCATCACCCCAGAAAGAAGCCTGCACCATCAGCAGCCACATCCACCCCTCCCTCCCAGCGCCTGGCGACCACTGCTCCCCCTTCTGTGTCTCAGGGTTCATCCATCCTGCACACTGCCTATCGTGAAGCCATCACACATGGAGGTCGCTCAGTGTGACATTCTCGAAGTGCACACTGGCACAGCCTGCCTCAGCCCCAGCTCCAGCCCTTCCTTCTGCTGTGCAGGAAAAGCCTGCCTGCTCTTCCCCTGTATCAATCTGGCTTCCAAAGGCCAGGCTCCTCCAGGAAACCTCAGGCCGCAGACCTCAGTGTGAGCGGGCTCCTCGTTATGCACTGGGGACAGCGACCATAACTAGAGAACTGGGAGCTATCACATGCAGGCGCTGTTCCGCACTTCGCTCACCGAAACCCTGAGGCTCCTGTTTGACAGATGGGGAACCTGAGCCTTCAAGGAGCAGCCTAGCCACAGGCTTGGGGACTCGGAAGCAGCATGGCCAGGATTTGAGTCCAGGCCTTCCAGCCCCTTGGCCGTACTGTGCAGTGGCTCAGGGCGCTGGGTATGAGGGGTGTGAGGCTCACCTCCAGGTCCAGGTCCAGGCCCAGGTTCGTGAACTCGTATTGCAGGAAGACTCGGAAGTTCATGTTCTCCACCGAGTGCACCACGATGTTGATGAACTGCATGCAGGCCACCTAGGGCCAGGACACGGCACCTCGATGCCTCCACCCCACACATCCGCTCTCCCTCCCAGCAGCCAGCCCAGCCCCTCTGCTCAGTGGCCCCGCTCACCATGAAGTCGATGTTGCTGTCCTCCTTGTGGAAATATTCCATCAGCCTTTCAAAGCGGTGCTGCTCCCCGCACACCTGCGGAGGGGCCATGGCACTCAGAGGAGCTGGTGACGCCCCGCTAAGCCATCACTTGGCTACCCACCACCCCTGTGCCTCCACAGGCTCCTGAACAGCTGGTGCTAAGTCAGCTCCCATCACTCTTCCTCACATTCCGTTCAATGGTCTCCTACCACAGACCTGGACTCACAAGCTCGTGTCTCTCGCCCACACTCCTACTCCAGGGCCTTTGCACTTGCTGCCACACCCAGTCCCCTGCCTCCCTCCCCCCTGTACTCAAGTCTCACCTCCTCAATGAGGCCTGTGCTGACCACCCTGCACCCTGCTCCCCCTCCTGGCAGCCTGTCCTTTCCCCTGGGGTATGCATCACTTTCTATCACGTTATGGTGTCTGCTTATTTACTGCGTTATTGTTCGTCTTCCCTGCCTCTCTGAGGCACAGCAGCCCCCGGAAAACACTGGTTAAAGAGATGAGCACACCCAGCCCCTCCCATCAGGGCCCTGCCTGCTGGCCTGGCCCAGGGCCTCCCGAGGCCCCTCCTCTCAGAACGCCCCACCCCACTGTGCTCGGGACTCCAGGAGGACTGGGCTGCAGTACCTCTTTGAAGTTGTCGAACGCCGAGAGGATGATGTCGTGCCCTCCCCGCACCAGGCACACGGCTGCCAGGAGCTCCAGCACGAGAGCCTTGGTTCTGGGGAAAGAGGGGCCGTGGGTCTGGGAATGGGCAGGCGCCATACAAGGCACAGAGGAGAAGCACCCGACCACAGAGGGCAGAGCAGCCAAGGGGCCTGGGCCGCACCTGGGGCTGTTGTTGTTGAGGCTCAGCGCGATCTCGTTGACGCAGGCTGGATGGTTCATGACGAGGCTGAAGCCAGACTGGGGGCAGAGGCCAGCTTAGGAAGTGCTTCACGGCCAGTCCCAGCCACACCCTAACCCCACCTTCTAAATCTGCGGGTTCCAACCCGGTGCCCTGTGTGCACCCCTGTGAAGCTCGTCGCACCCCAGCCGGGCCGGGAACCCGCCTGGAGCAGCCCAGACCGGGCGCCCAGGGGGAAACGGGGCGGAGAGGGAGCCCCACCGCCCACCTGGTAGTTCATGATGGCGCGCAGGCACATGATGCACACGTGGACGTCGTCCTTCTGGCTGACGAGGCGCGAACCTCGCAGCGTCTTCCTGCTGTGCACGGGGGTCAGCCTGGGTGCAGGGAGGCGGCAGGGTCACGCACAGGCCTCCCGCCCGCTGTCCCCGCCCACAGCACCAGGGCGCCTTCCTCGGACCAGGCTGGCACGGGGCGGGCGGGAGCAGCGGCCCTCAGGCCCTGGGCATCAGGGACCGGACGCTGCCAGGCGGTGAGGCCCTTCGGCAGCGAGGCCAGTCACACCCGGAGGGCTCCCGGCAGGGGGCGCCCGCAGCCCGCCCCGAGCGGCTCCTGCTGCCTGCTTCCTAGCCGGCGGCCTCACCTCCCTGTGGCCCTTTCTCCACGTCTCCGACGGGAATGCAGAGAACCTTCCTGGTGGGGTCGCAAGGACCAGGAAATGAAGCAGCTCGGTGCCTGGCCCCCAGGAAGTACTGAGCGAGCGTGCTCAGTTATTCTTGGCCAAAAACAGGTTTGCTATTTTTACTTTTGCAGAAGGGGCAGCTGTGACTTCCACACATCAGTCCCCTTGACAATTCCACCAGGTTTCCAACAAACTGGGAGGCCCGCCTCACCCACCAAGTGCCCCTCGCCCACCACGCGGGCCTCTCCCAGCGTGGCTCGGACGCTCGGAGGTGCCCTTCTCGTGCTGCCCCCTGGGGTAGGCATCCTTCCCCGCTCGACCGTGTCCAGTGTCACCTCTCCTGGGAGCTGTCCCGATGCCCTGGGGCATGCCCAGCCCCTCCTCAGAGCCACCAGCCTGCCACACTGAACGTCCCCTCACTAGACTGGGCACCTGGCACATATCTAATTCGTGGTAAACCCTAAAAAATGTTTGGTGAATGGATGAACAAAAAAAAAACACTGGAAGTGTCTGGGGCTTAACATGGCAGTTCATACCCCAGAGCCAGGGCTGGGAGTTGGGGTCCACATGGGGCTCAAGGGCCACCCCCTTACTCCCAGACGTGTCCACAGCAGCAGAACCTGGGATCAGCAGAACGCAGGGGTCAACCAAACGCCCCGTCCAACCCGCCACCCCCCTGGCGCCTGCCAGGCATGCATCTGCCCTGGGGGGGGGCTACATACCGGGGAGAAGGGGGACACCTGGAGGCCGCATGGAGAAAAGAGGGGGTTAGATTGGCACAAGAGGGCCCCAGGCCCCCGAGCCCTTCCTCATTGCAGGCACCCCTAGATCTGGCCCCGAAGGCTCCTGACTCCAACCCTCCTCCCACCAGCAGCTGCAGTACTCTGCCCCAGCCCCACAGACCTGACGGTCAGGTGGCGACTCCGTGCCACCGAGGGGGGCGGCCCCTTGCTGAGGTCCTCCACCGACTGCTCCAGGGGCTTGCTCTTCTCGCTCTTCTCCCCACTGTCCGTACTCTCCACGTCGTACCTGGAGACAGGACACAGGGAGCTTGAAGGCCAGCACAGAGGGGACCCCCAGAAACGGGGCAGGAACTGTGTCCTGGCTCCGTCCCTCCCATCAGAGAAGGCCTGCAGGAAGAGGCACTGCCAAGCCTGAGCACCACCAGGCTGGGCACCCAGCAGGGGCAGGGGTGATGTGCAGGGATGCCTGGGCCTGGGCTCGGGGGGCGGTGGAAGGGTTGGGGTGAGGGGGCTTACGTGACAGAGCACTGAGCAAAGGCCAAGTACTCGAGGAGCACATCCAGGCCACGGTTCTCCTTGTTGAGGAACTCCTGCACCCACCTGCAGGGCAGGACACCCCAAGTCCAGGGTAGCCACCAGCATGCCCACCTCAAGGACCCCATGGTGCTGAGGGACATCCAGGCTCAGAGCCCCACAGCCCAGCCGGGGGGACATCGGGCCTGCTCTCACCCAATGTGGTTGGTCCTCAGGGAGGTCTCCAGCTCCCGAAGCACCTGCGTGGACTCCTGGCTGCGCCTCTTAAACTGGGGGTGGAACAGGAAGCCCGGTGGGCAGAGCCTCCACAGGCCCCCAAATCCTGGGGCCGCAGCCAGCACCCCCACCCCCCAAAACATGTGGCCTTTCACACCTGCCCAGCTGAATGGCACAGTACCGTGTGCTCCTGGGCACAGACGTGAGGGAGCCGACACGGTGCTGCACACACACACAGGGAGGCCACACACCCCCATGCAGACACATGGGGCACGTGCATGTGCACATGCTCCAACACAAACACTCCAGCCCGCACAGAGCACCTGGATACAAACGCGGTACTCGCACACCCATACATGGACACATGGGGTACACACACCCACACACATGTCCACAAACAACCAGGTGTATACACAGCACACACAAGCATTTGTGGACATGGGTGCGCACACAAAGGCACACGGCAGCCCTGTGTCAGCAAACCCAGGGCTCCCTCAGGGCCCTACAGCGCACATGTGCACACTCAGGCACCCACTCAAGCCTATACACAGCGACCTGAGGGCCAGGGGAAGGCCCAGATGAGGGGACAGAAATACCCCCAGGTTGGACATCCAGTCCGCTGCGACCTTGCGGCCGACCCCCCCAACATCGAGGTAGCTCTTCAGTTTCTGGATGTAGGCTTCGGGGGGGTTCTTGACTTGAAACCGCTCCTGCGGAGGTGGACAGGTGGGCAGCGGGCCGGGCAGAGCTGCCCTAAGGGGGAAAGACCAGCCCCCACTGAGGTCTCTTCTGCTCCAACCCGGCCTCAGGCCGTCCTAAGCTCCTGGGCCCAGGCCTAAGGAGCCACAGGCAGGGGAGACCCCAGCCAGTCCAGCCAGTCCCCGCCTCTGCACTGTGGCCTTGGAAGCCCAGGCTCTACTCTGCCTGCGGTGGAATAGCAGGGTGGGAGGGGCTGGTCCAGCCAGCAGGTGGCGCCCTCTCCCCTGCCCGGACCAGAGCAAGAAGGACTGCCGAGGCCCGGCTTCCTGCAGACTCAGCACCCTTGCCTGGGTTGCATCCAGTCCACAGGGTGGACACCTGTGTGCCCCCGCTCAGACAGAGGCCCCTCGCATGTGCCCAGCCGTTCCCCCTGCTGCCCCAGGCTCTGAGTCCCTGCCCCATGTGCCCCTTCCACAGCCCGAGCCTCTGCCCGCTGGCCTTGCCTGCCAGCTCCTCCCATCACTTCCATTAGCCCGAGCTCTGCCAGGCCCCAGGGGAGGTCCTGCTCCCGCCTCCCCACCCTGGAGCCCATGCATGCCAGCCCCTCCTTGCCCACCCAGGGCAGCGTCTTCCCCACGGGGCCATGGGGCAGCCGGGTGGACCCAGGCCTTCCAGGTGGATGGGCTTCCGGGCCAGGGTCTCCTCTGGCTGGCCTGGGGCTGCTGCCAGACTGCATCTCCTGGAATCCACCAGGAAAGGACAGGGCTCCTGCCTCCTCCCTTGGGGGCCGAGCCCAGCCCAGGGCTGTGTCAGGAGAGGCTGCCGGGCATAGCGAGGGGAGGGTGCCTTGGCCCAGCCCTGTGGGCCCCCAGGACAGACCCACCCTGCTCACGACACCCAGGTCTGGGGCAGCCACGCCAGGCGAGGCCTTGGGCCACACGGAGGTGCTGCTTCCCCTGGCAGCATCCGAGGGAGGGCGGCAGCTGAGTGCAGTACCTGGTCGCAGATGAGCTCCCACTTCTTCTCGTCATCGTACTGGCTCAGCAGCTGCACCTTATCCGGGGGCAGGTTCATGCAGTTCTGGGGGCCAAAGTGGGGATCTTGAGCCTGGGGGGCCCCGCAGCATGGGGCATCTCTGGGGCCCCACTACACTTCCAAGTATCACAGGAGATAAGTGGCATTACCCAGAGAAACCGAGGCCCGAACGGCACCTTCCCCAGGGTCTGACAGCCGGAAGGGGCCCGGGGCTTGACTCCAAGTCCAACTGGACAGTGTCGCCCCACGCCTGCTGTGAGCCAGATGCTCTCATTCCCTGGGGACCCCAGGCTCCCCCAGCCCCGTGCTCCCCATCTTCAATATGGGGCATCAGCTGTCCCCAACCAAGGGGGCGCTGACCCGGACCCATCGCCAGCCAGCCCACGTGGCAGCAGCTGGGCTGTTCCTAGTGCCACCAGGCACCCGCAAACCTCTCCCGAGGAGGCGACACAGCCTCCTTCGTCCTCCCACCCCTCCTTCCTGTCTTTCCAAGAAATGAGGGGAGGCAAGTGGGGTGGGAGCTCCAGGCAGGGTGGCACGGCCCCGAGGTCCCCAGCCTGGTCTGTGCTGCTGTGCCCCAGGCTGGGGAAGCGCTGGAGCTGCCTGGGCCACAGTGTCATCCCCACAGGCCAGGTGCCAGGCAAGCCCGGCACTATGGGGTCAACCAGGTGCCACCAGCATTCCAGACCCCCAGAACCCCAGTTCAGCAAGTCTCCCAACAGACGCAGAATTCAAGGCCAGTTCACCGCAGCTCAGCCAGCCCAGGTTCACTCCAAAACACAGTTCTCTCCCTCAGAGGCCCGCAGAGGGTGTGGGAGCCACCAGATCCCAAGCCCAGAGCTGGGGAGGCTGCCATCCCCAACTGAGCCACAGCTGGAGCAGGGAGCGACCACACCCATCCACGACTCAGCCACCCAGCTTCCTCTCTGGTGGGTGCTGAGCCTAGATCTGGGGCTCTGACCAGACCTCTCCCCCAAATCACTGCTGGAGCCAGCTCAGAAAACAGGAAGCTGGTGTCCCGCCCCCCTTGCCTAAGCTTCTGGCCAGGCCGCTCCAGAGGTGAAGCTGCCCACCCCAGACTCCAGCCAGCTGGGGCGGGGTGCATCATGCCTGTCCCTCACTGCCAAAGCGAGCTGGGCGGGGAAACTGACAGGCCTCATCCACCACCCCTCAGGCACATGGGGCGCTCTGCACTCTGTGTGGGGGCCTGGAGGCCCCACCTCTGTCCCCTCTGTGCCATCCTCACCACGGAGGTGCGGAGAGTCGGGCCAAAGGAGGAAGTGAGGCCGAAGGCAGGCCAGGACACAGAGCCAGGACACAGAGGACAGGGCTGGGGGTCGGCTGGGCTTCAGGCGGCCACTTCAGGGTGGGGGACCCTTCCAGCCCTCACTCACCCCACCGAGACCCGCTGGCTCTGGGAAAGCCCAGCAGCACCTCTGGCCACGTCCGTGACCACCACAGTCAAGGCGGCCAGCTCCCTGGGCCGCTCTGTGCCACCCTCACAGCTGTTGCTGGCACCGTCATCCACTGTGCCCACTCCACAGAGCGGGCACTGGTCTCCACGGCGACTGCCCCAGGTTATGAGGCCTGGGACAGCCATAGCCCGGCCCTGCTCCGAGAGGCCTGCACACCTGCCTAGCAGCAGCGAGGGCCAGGGGCACATGCCAGCCTGCCAGACATGCTAAATTTAGACTCAGAAATCAGAAGGAGCTCTGACGGCACTGAGCGCTAATTAGCAGCTGCTCCTTGACTGTGCCTGTGTCCACCAAGGTGATGGGCACTCCAGGGAGAAGGAGCGGAGGCAGGAGGTGCCACACGTCACGGGGGTGAGGCAGCATCCTCGGAAAACAGGAGCAGAGCCCAGGCCAGGGCCCTCAGTGTGGACATGGCACCACGGGACAGGAAGGACAAGCAGTCCGGGAGCCCTGTCCTGGGGCAGCTGTGATAGCAGCAGCTGGAGCAGGGCGTGAAGCTCCAGGCCCTGGTTCACCTGGCAGAGCATCTCAGAGCCCTCTGTGGAACTGGTGCGGAGCCTGCCTCAGCCTCCCAGGGCCCAGAGACAAGGTGGGGGGGGGGGCAGTTGTGGTTCGGCAGGGTGATGTCATGCGACCAACACTAGGAAGATGCAGCTCCAATGAGGGGCACAGGCAAGGGGCCCACAGAGGACCCGAGGCAGGACGGGGGAATGATGTGAAAACGTGCAGGTAGACAGGCCTGCGTCCAGGGCTTGGCCAATAGCAATGGACCCTGCGCCCCCAGGCTCTGTGACCCACGAGTGGGACTCATCTTTCCGGGTAAGGCCGAGAAATGGAGCCGACCCCTAGATCTTCCTGTGAGAACGTGCAGGACCACGGTCCTCCATCCACGCCCCACCTTCCGGATGCAGAGGGACTCGGCCTCCGGTCTCACCACAGCCCCTGCCCTGGATGCCGCCCGATCGACTTCTGAGGCCACATCTGGACAGGGCCACACCCTGCAGTTTCACTTTGAATCTCGGCAGAACCTGCATCCCAAACCAGCAGCCCACTTTCTCCCCAGGGTCAAGTCCTTCCAGCCCCAGGCTGGCCCCCAGTTTGGACCCCAATCCCAGGGTCAGGAGGCCCCATGGGTCCCCAGCCCTTCCCCTCCTCAGTGGGCTCCCAGCCTGGCTCTCACGCCCTCAGGGAAATCTCTAGAAACAATTAGTCGCTTCCCTTGCGCCCTCCTGGAGCTCTGTGAGCAACCCCAGGATCAGAGGAGGCTGTGGGGTAACCCCGCCTGAGGCAGGTGTGAGACCGCACAGCAGGGACTGGAGCAAACAGAGCGCAGCCAAGCCACCAGGCACGGCCACAAAATGCAAGCTGGCCAGAGAACGAGAAGGGCAGCCATCCACACTCCCAAGCCCGCCCCCGCTGGGCTGGGCCCACACAAGCGCCTCATGTCCGTTAACTGCTGTAAACCTCAATGACACGCATGCCAAGTGGATGCCATCATAACCTCATTTCACAAAGGGAAACTGAGGCACGCAGAGCTTAAGTCACTTGCCCGGCTTCCTCAGAAGAAAAGGTTGCAGGACAGTGGGAAGCGGAGGTCCTGGCCCCTCGGGGGGTCTTCTGCAGACAGCCCGGCCCCAGGGCCCCCATCTGAGGAACCAGGACCAGCCGGTGCCGCTTCCTGCCACCAGCACCCTGCACTTCCTGTTGTTCCCCACACCGAGCTCTTACTCACTGGGGAACCCCACCCCCAGCAACCCTGTGTCGGGGGAAGTGGAGGCTCCCCACCCCCACATGTGCACAGGGCGCCGTTAGCCACCGTGCCACACCCTGCTGGAGAGGTGGCCCCGTTCCCCAGCTCCCCAGGGTTTCCGGCCACCAGGCAGCACTGGGCCTAGGCCTCCCTGGGGCTGACCTGCACAGTGCCTGCAGCTCTGTGGGCTCCTGGGGACACAGGGCCACCCCAGAGGTCTTATAAGGGATGGGGACGGGTGAGGCAGGACCCCCACAGGGAGAGAGCCAGGTCAGCTCCTCTTCCTCGAGGTGGAGAGCTCTGCTGATGCTCACTCCGCAGGAGGCACCGCGCTGAGCACCCCACGCAATCCCATCACTCAGAGCCCGAGCAGCGTGTCCCTCAGTATTCTCTTTCATGGGGAGCAAAGCACAGGCTTGGACAGGTTCAGTAACTTGCCCAAGGTTACACTGGTAGTAAGTGGTAAAGAAATTCAGGCCCCAAAATCAACCCTCAAATCCAGAACCCTTCCGTGCCTCTGAGCAACCCCGGCCCCTCGAGGCAGGAGCCCAAACCACCCTCCAGAACTCTGTGTTCCCAGGAAAGATGCAGAAGCGGCCCAGCCCCACCTGCTCCTGTTCGTCTCACCCAGCATGCTGCCAACTGCCCCAGATGTCCCTGTGAATCATGCCCAGCACAACCCTGGTCCTGCCTCTGTCCAGCCCAGCATCTGGCTGCAGGGCCTAGCCCTCTGCCATCCTTCGAGGCAGGAGGCCCAGGGCCTGAGCACCCCACGGCCACACACCCCCAACCCCACCCAGCCCACCCCAGCGAGGAGCTGGCCAAAGGGCTCCCTCTGCCACAGCCAGCCAGGCCCAAAGGAGACCCTGCTCTTCACCTAGCCCCAGGGATGGGGACAGACACTCAGGGCCACACCCACGCTGCCTGGCCATGGGCACAATAGGGCGGTGCTCCCCAGTGGCTCAGGCCCTTCGGGGACATCATCCCGAGACCCTCTGCCGCAGCAGATCGGCTCCTCCCCAGCTGTACCCGTGCACTCCAGCAGCTGAGAGAAGGTGCACCACAGTCTGCCCAGGAAGGGCGGCACGGCCTGGACCACACCCAGCCTGGGCTGGCTAGCGGGTGCTCCCACCAGCAGCACCCCATCCTCAGCAGCAGCCGGCCCTCTGCATGGTTGCTAAGGCAGCAGCTGCACACCCTGGCTCAGCCTGCTTTCCTCCCACCCCACATAAAGCAGGGGCTCCCTCTCTCCCACAGCCTTCTTGGAAAGGGGGTGCCCCACGGTGGCTCCTGAACAGGAAGAGGGCTCCCCACACCTCCCCCATCCACAGCCAGGAGAGGAGGGGCAGTCTGGGTGTCAGGGTGCTGTTCCACCGGGCAGAAAAGGGGGCCAAGGAAGAGGTCCCCTGGGTGCCCCGGGCAAAGGCCAGGCTGTCACCCAGGGTGGGTGGAGGTAGAGGGCCAGGCCCTAGAGAGGGGGCCCTGGGCTGGGCTCTGCCTGCCTCACTCACACCAGGCTCCTGGGGACCTCAGGGGCCCAGGGTGCTACTGCCCTGGGTTTCTCTCCAGTCACCACTCCTCTCTCCAAGAAGCACCCCTAAATTCCTCCCTGAGCCTCTCTTCAAGGGCTCCTGTGGCACCCACAGCAGATGGGGCCGGTCTCCGCCATAGCGCCAGTCACGTCCCACAAGCCAGCGGTGCGGCAGGACCTGAATTCTGGCCTTTCCACCTCTCAGCCATTCACAAGGCTCCTCCTCATCGGCGTCCATAACAGGGAGCAGCCTGGACCTCTCCCCAAAGCTCACCGCGCCACCTATGCC